ACACACACACACACACAGTTTAGTTGTGCACCTTTTCACAAAATATCAACTGTAATCCACTTTTTAAAAGTCGGGCAAGTATCTTTTTGGTACAGACCCAGGAACCTTTTAAAGGATGTTTGGTATATAAACTACTGCATTCTTTTAAATTAAAAATAAAGTATTTACATTTTTTCTACCGTTAAAATAACAAATCCCAAGAATTCTCGGTTTTACATACAAACAGTTAAGGATTTTTATCACAGCAATCGATGTCATAATAGGGCAGCTGTGGTGGTATTACAGACTTACGAGGCGAGCTTCTTAGTAAGCAGGCGACTGCTCCATGAGTTGGGAGAACTGGGACATGGGTCAACTGGAGGCTCCAGGTCACGAGACAGCTCATAGCTTTAGGAGACAAAAAAAATAAATTAAGAAACGATGCAAACAGTTTTGTAAAAGTCTTCCACTCCACCGGATTGCCTTTATATTGTGTTGCACTGGCGTCAGTGTGTGCCTCACCTCTCCTGGTCTGTGAGCAGTGTGTGCTCCTGCAGCCAGGTGGTGATGTGAGGGTTGACTGGGAGGCTGTAGTGGGAACAGGAGGCCTGAAGCTGCCGGATCTGGGAGAGAATCTCAAACTCCTGCGAGAGAAATAAATAAAAGGGAATACATAAAAGAATGAGACCGAAAATAAAAAATATCCTTGAATTTCAGCACTAGCTATTGAAATTGAGAACATTAATGCAAGACACCACTAGGAGGCAACACCTACCCGTCTGCGCTTCTCAAAGTTAATGAGTCCACCCTGCAAATAAGGAAATAACCAGTGTGACAAATATGGCATCATAAATCTACCAAAGTACCATAAAAAAAGACCGAAACAACAGGTGGGTTTGCGGATGTGATGTGTTCTCACCTCCACAGTGTCAGTCAGTGCTGTATCCAGCATGGTGAGGACAGTCAGGTAAGTGCCGAGGTATGGCACAACACCACTGCTGAAGTTCTGAGGAAACAAATGAAGCATTTTTACATTGTGGCTACACCATTGACAAAGATAGAGAATCAACTTCTTACTAATTTTCATTGTCATTAGTGATCGCAGTATTCTGTCGTTTTCAAGTTTCTTTCTCCAAGAAAATGAGGCTGGCATTAGCTAATTTTCTATTAGTCATTTACCACCACAACAGAATACTGAGCACACTAATGTCAGTAAAAATGAAAGAATATACTAGAAATACTAGATACTAGAAAAATATACAGACAAGACTATTACAATTTAAAAACAATGAATGTGGGGGTATAAAACATTTTACACAGCCACACCTGGACAAAGTAAACTGTTAAACTGTGGGAAACACCTTGCACGTGCGTCAGCTTTTATACCCTCTTGCATAAGGGGATAAACTAACAGTTATGCGAATTGAAAGTGTGCAAACTTTTTCCATCGAATGAACAGATTAAAAAAGAAAGGGGAACTGGAACTCTGGTGTCTATTTTAGCAAATTGAACGTTCTTGAAAACATGTGATTTTTAGGGAAACAGAATTGATGATCCAGGCAGAGGAAAACAGACCTCTGCCTTTCATCTCTAACTGGCTGCCAAAGCTGACATATTCACTTTATGTTGGTGGTCAAACCTGAAACTGGAGGAACAACAAGGTTATTTTCAAACAAAGTGCTGACTTATTTTCTTACCATCTGTCTGGACGCTGAACAGAGTCGGGGTGATTTGGAGCTGAGGGTGGCACTGCCATCTGGATGACTCCCATCCTGCAGAAAATATACAACAGTCTGGTCAGTCCAGTGAAAACAAAATACCTAATAATTCAGGGCGCTAATGTGAAAGTGCTCTGTGTGAGATGTCAACCAAGGAGACATGTTACATAATTGTTCTTTTCATGGTTAAGCACCTGCTGACAGGGTGCTGCTGGGTGTGGGAAGGTGCCACTGCAGAGCAGGCTGAAGTCAGAGTTACAGCCTATTGTGCTATTTATGTGTGTGTGTGTGTGTGTGTGTTTACAAGGAGACTATTAGACAGTATGTACTCAATCAAATCAATAAATGCCGATTAGCACCAACTGGCCACTTGTATTTGTAGTTTTATTTGAGTTGGCTGCTAACAATGGGCTTTTTATTTTATAATAGAACTGGGCTGCTCAGAACAGCACAATCACTAAACAAACCTTCATATCAATTGTTTTTCACAGGGAACAAAGGACACAGGGTGGCAGGTGAACTGTACACTGAACATTCATTCAGTCTTGCAACTAATCAACCAACTATTCTACACAATACATTCAGTAAGCTGGTTTATTTCATTAGATGTTTAGGAATCATACTGACAATTTTACATGTGTGTTTAACACTTTACATGTTACACTAAGGCTGCAATGATTATGTTCATTATTTCTTATTCTGTATTAATTGGTGAATTAGTAATACTATATGTCCATGGTGACATCTTCAAATATCTTGTTTCTGTCTCACCATTCCAACATTCCAAAACCCAAACACTGTCTGGCTCAACAATAACTACACAGATCTTTCCCTCGTTAATTAGGCAGAGTCATCAGTCTGCATGTTGCCTGATCCGGTCGAGCGAATCACAACCATTTATTTAATATGGGGTGGGTTTTATACAATGATTGATAGAGGTGTGTCACCAGTCCAGAATTAAAAAGTCACACTAAGGTCTATCCTAAACTGTCAAACTAGGCAGTGCTGCTCAAATTTAAAGATTCTGTTACTGCGTCGCCTATTTCTTATCTAAAATGTTTTCTGAAACATATTTTTCTTAGTGTATTGATTAACTGTAATATTAAAAGGTTTGGGAACAGGCCTCCATTTTCTTTCTGCTTGAAAACGGACCAAGCACCGCCTGATGCTACTCTGATTGGTTGTATATGTATCCAGTTTCATTCTGGTCTGCAGCCGTTGGTAACGCCCCTTGGAAATCAAAAATGAACTGAGCCATTGCAGGTTCATTTGCATTTGCAAATTAGTCAGATGGTGCCAGGATGGTCTGCGTGTGTGTTTACGTCAAAAGTTACACATAGTTACCTCCACCAAGATCTCTCTGCTGGTTAGCACACAGTTCTCATCAGGAAAAGTCTCACACAAGTTGTCAAAGATGGCGATGCTATCCCTGAAACAACACAAATTCAATCAGTTAAGACCTTTTGTGGAGTCAATACTCACCCTGAACAAGGCTGCAAGATATATAGTTCAGGAAAACTGACTATGGAATTGATTTTGTATTGTTCTTCTTTATTCACTCTTAACACTTTTCACCTATTTTTCATTTTGTGCCCCAACAAAGCAACTTATAAATTATGAATAAAACAACAGTTTACTGTCTTGTAATTGCTTGCTGACCTGCTGACAGCAGCCCAGGTCTTCTTGAGGCGATACACAGCGTTGGACTGCAGAGCTGAAAGGATGGCTCTCAAAGAGGAGAGATTCTTCATCTGTCTGCACTCCTGCAGAGAGAAAACAAGAAAATGCAGTTCTATTGTGCCGTTTTGATAAAGAGTTATGTTCATTCATGTCACTTCATTGTAAACCTAAATATATTGTGACCCTGACCTGAGCAATGGCGATCCACCTCTCAATGATGCGTGCTCTGTGGGCGGGTCTGGTGTGAGCGCAGCGTGGTGAGCTCGGGGCAGTGGAGGGGTACAGGAAGGTAGAGGAGGAGCTGGGTGATGAGATGGGAGAGGAAGTGGAAGGGCTGGGAGAGGACGGGTAGAGGAGTGAGGTGATGACACGGTTAGTAACGGCATTGAACTGGGAGATGGTGGCACGGACTGTGGGCGCCAGGTTTCGGTTTTCCTTCTTGTCGCGCTGGGACCAGACGCAGCCCAGGCAGTGGAAGGGCACCACTCTGACAAACAGCTCCTGAGGAAGACGTGATGACAGGGAGATACAATAAGAGCGAGTGACCTGCAGTGACACACAAATGAGCTTTGAGATATTTGTTGACGAAACGTACAGCGTCCAATCTGGTCAGCTGCTCCGCCACTTCTCTCACAGGAAAGTCCATAAAGTTGTTTTTGTCTTCCTCCTTAGTGGACAACTCTCCTCCGTCCTCCTGGTCTTTGTGCTCCTGGTCTCTGTGCTCCTGGTCTCTGTGCTCCT